GCCAGGAGCCAGGAGCTTTTTCCAGGTCTGCCACGCGGGTACAGAGTCTCAAGGTTTGGGGCTGTTCTCCACTGCTTTCCCAGGCCGCTAGAGCCTGGGAACTGGAGCAACTGGGGCACCAACTGTTCACCCGCGTGGGATCCTGGGTAGATCCCAAGGCGAGGTTTTAGCCACTAGGCTACTGCACAGGGCCCATGAATTTTGATTTTAGTGACTGTATGTTTAATGAGAGGATTGTGACTCGTGATCTGCCACGTTGATAGACTTGATGTTGAGCCGTTTAACTTCCTTGGGTGGTATCAACCATTCTCATTTTTTCCCCTAATTAACTTAAGCCCCTTACCCCTAAAATAGGTTGTTGTATTGCCTTGATACTTTTTAATCTCTTGTGATAGAGTCGTTTATTTTAGATTTCTCCGTTTTTTGACTGCTTTGTGTCATGCTTTAAAACCCTCATGTCAAACTGTAGCATCCATACTTAGGATTCGTTTTTGAGTATGAAACGTGACAAGATTGTTCTTGACCCGCACAGACCCTTCCATTCACGGGGTGAGGCGTCCTTTGTGTCACTGAATTGGAACACAGGTTCCCTCACGCACCGAGGATTGATAATGCCTCTTCAGTTTATGCAGTGCTGTGTCCAATTCGCTCTTCGTTTATGGAAGGGAGGGCCTCTGTGGGGATGGTCAGGGCTCAAATCTCCACCCTGCTGCTTCCCAGCTGGCAGCCAGGAGCAAGCTGCCAGGGCCACTTTGCTATTCCTAGAGCATGTCCGTGTCGGTGTTGCCCACGGCGTGGATGTTTAAGGAACCGGACGTCCTCCTTGATGCTGAGTGTTGAGCGACTTCCTGTAGGAGTGGTGTGGCTGCCGCGGTGGATGAGTGTGTGCAGAGCCTGGGTCTCCTGTGTGCTGTCCTGCCGCTGGGAGCAGTGTGCTGGTCACGCCCAGGGGAGCCCGCTGCGGGGCAGTCTCCACTGCTGGCCTGGCCAGGGTTCGAGTTCTCCTGCCTGCCTGCCCTGTGGAGCTCTCCAAGGGGGCACTGGCACACTGCATAGGAAAGCTCTGCCAGGACCTGTGTGGTCAGCGCATGACCACGGGTACTGGGGAAAGCCCTCTGTGTCTAACTTCCTGCGGAATTCTTTAAACCTTTTTTAATTCACTAAAGAGAGTTGGGTCATCTCTGCCCCCCCTTACCTGGGTAGTATAAATTTCAAGACCCCCCCAGTGGAAGCTTCAAACCACAGAATACTAATCCTATATGTACTGTACTTGATGTTACACACGTGTGTGCCTAACAAATGTTCTCTAAGGCACAGTAAAAAATGAGCAGTCACTAATAATAGAAAAGTTATAACAAGACGCTAATAAAATATGTGAGTCTGGCCTTTGTCATCGCCCTTCCCACCCCCCCCCCGTATCTTTCCCTTCCTTTTTTTTAAAGATTTATTTATTTCTATTAGAAAGGTAGGTTTACAGAGAGCGAAAGATTTTCCATCTGTTGGATTATTCCCCAAATGGCCACGACGGCCAGAGCTGAGCTGATCCGAAGCCAGGAGCTCCTTCTAGGTCTGCCGTGTAGGTGCAGGGAAACAAGACTGTGGGCCAACTTGTACTGCTTTCCCTGGGCCGCAAGCAGGGAGCTGGATCAGAAGGGAAGCAGCCAGGACGCAAACTGGTGCCCGTATGAGATGCAGGTGCTTGCAGGTGGAAGATTAGCCTGTTGAGCCGTGGTACCAGCTTGTGTCTTTCCTTCTTATGCCCCTCTCCCGTCTGATTTCTCATTGTGTAATATTAACATTTTCAGAGCCTGGCAGGTCACGGCCAGATGGGGGTGAGGAAGGGGGCACTGTGTGTTCATTGCCATCTTACTGTTACCTTTGATATTTAGAATACACACTTCCGTTTTATGATTAATCATCCCCCAGTATTTATTTAAAAATGGTTTATTTTTGTTGGAAAGTCTGATTTAAGCCAAGAAGATACAGAGAGAAAGATCTTCCATCTGCTGGTTCACTCCCCAAGTAGCCACAACTGCAGGAGCTGAGCCAGTCCAAAGCCAGGAGCCGGAAGCTTCTTCCTGGACTCCCACGCGGGTGCAGGGTCCCAACATCTTGGGCCATCCTCGACTGCTTTCCCAGGCACAGGCAGGGAGCTGGATGGGAAGCGGGGCAGCCGGGACACAAATCGGCCGTCCATATGGGATCCTGGTGCATACAAGGCGAGGATTTTGCCACTGAGACATCGCTCCAGCCCCGTCCCCCCCAAATTCATTTCTTATGCAGGGAAATGTTTTTCATTTACCTGATGAATATTCATTAAAGGAAGAGATAAGTAATGTTGTTCCCAAAAGCTGGATGAGACCCAGGGGTGTTTTTTTTATCAACATTTAAAAATCCCGTCTAAAAATGTGTTCATATCTGAGAAGGAAGGTGCCTTTTCTTTGCGCTGTATTATTAGGGAAGCAGGGTTGGTAACATTGTGAGAGGAGGTATGGACTTTTGAGGGGGGAAAAATCACTGGAAAATTTATTCTTTTAAAAGATTTGGAAGGCAAAGTTAGAAGGACAGACACAGAGAAGTCTTCCATCCATTGGTTCACTTCCCACATGGCCACAAGAGGGCGCAACTTGGCAGATCTGAATATGTGTGTCTGAATAATTTCTTGGAAAATCTTCCCCATCTGAGAACATGACAGAATTTATGGTTGTGTATATCTGAGTTTTTTGTTTTTAGTCAGTGTGATGTCCTTGGTCCCGCTGGAATTTTAGGGTAAGGTTAGACAGGATAAAGGTTAGTTACTTCTGAGGCAAAAAATGGTGATGTAGAATGTGTGTATTGCACTGAGATGATGATGCACAATTCTTGGAGAAAACTTGTTGACTGTGTTTTAAGGAGGGAAGCTCATTTAAAAATTAACAGCGGATCGCTATTTTCTATGGAAAACTTGAGGAAATGCAGACCGCAGTTAGAGCAGTAGTGCAGATAACGCGACGGTGTAGCTTTGCTGTTTTCCATTTTTAATTAAAATGTGGGCATGCGTGAGGAAATGTCTTCAGTGGTTATTTTGAAGGATGTCAGAGTGTTTTTAAGCCGTGCAGTGCTTTGAGAACGACCTGAGTTCCGACTCTGGGCTGCCTGCTTTGTGGGCGCCTCCTCGGCCAGCCTCTCCCTTCTGCCCTCCCGCCCTGCGTGCAGCGCCCTCTCGTGGCGGCGGAGGGAGGGAGGTGCCAGTGCGGCCTGGCTGCAGCGCCCTCTCGTGGCGGCGGCGGAGGGAGGTGCCAGTCCGGCCTGGCTGCAGCGCCCTCTCGTGGCGGCGGGAGGGAGGTGCCAGTCCAGCACGGCGGGCGCAGGCGCCTCCCTCGGGGCTGGTCCTTCTGCGGGCGCCCTGTCGTCCCTGGAATCCGAGATGCTCCCTGAGCCAGTCCGGGTTGGCCTCTGGCTGCCAGCTGCACCCCAGCTCAGCTAGCCCTGGGGTACTGGGGTACCGGGGGGCCTGGGGCCACCTTCCCACCTTCGCACCAGCTTCCGGGGTTAGCACCCGCGGGAGGCGCTGGGGCTCCGGGCGCGGCCCTTTAAACTTTGTTTTTTAAACTTGGGGGTGTGGTCGCTGCGCGCCTCTCTGGCTGCTGGTTTGTCCCTGGTCCACCAGCCCTTCCCTCCTGCCCCGCCTCCCAGATGCCTTGGAGTCATGAGCCGGCAGGGCGCGGGGCCCCGTCTGCGGGTCGAGGTGATCAAAGGTGAGTGCCAGGGGCTGCCCGTCATCCCCGAGGGGCGCCCACCAGCGCGGGGTTGATCTCGGAGGCCCCTGGTGTGCGGGTGAGCTTCAAGGTGCCTTTCAGCTCCGTGAGGCCGCAGTCGCCCCATCTTAGGGTAAAGGTGGGTGGCCTGTCCTGCTTGCAGACGCGCCTGTGGGTGCTGGGCACCCTGTGCTCCTGCGCCCTGGCCCCGGGCCGTGCCACACCCTCCTCCGGGTTCAGGGAGCGAAGGTCGCCTGTGCGGCTTGCTGGCTGGCAGGGATCTCGCCTTCCCGGCCACCCCGTGCTGCCCAGAGGCGTTTGTGGTCATCAGAAGCCTCAGCTGAGTGTACGAGGAAGTACGTCTGTCTGGGCAGCGGTTGTGAGAATAGATGGCAGATGGGAAGAGAGGAAGAAAGAAGCTGGAGTTGCGCTTGAGGGGAGCAGCCAGCTGGCATCCCCGGCTGGCTCTGCGCTTGGCACTGCTCGGACGGGCACGGGCGATCAAAGCTGAGCTTTCAAGCTTACGGCACGTTTTGGCTCCTGCTGCTGGTGTGTGACTTCTGAGAGGTGCAGCCGTGCGGTTTGTCTGTTTTGAGACAGCTGTTTTTGGGGACGAGGAGAGGGAAGGGTGGAGCTGGCCTCGGGTGGGGGCAAGCTCTGTGCCACACGGTAACGTCTCATGGCTTGTCTTCAACAACGATTGGTGCTAATTGTACCGACAGCGAAGTAGTGATCCTGAGTTCTAAAAAGATAGTCGATCCTTCAGAGCAGTTGGGTAAACATAGGACTTTGTGTGTGTGTGTGCCTCTCAAACTGTGAGCAGCGGTAATTTTGAGCAATTTTGAAAGCCTCCTTTCTCATTACCTGCAAGCTGATTTCTCACGGAAAAGACTTTGTGGGGGTGTTTTGGGTGTTTTAACTGAAGGGAGCTGGAAGCTGGCCATCAAACCCCCACTTACTTCTGTCGGTCCAGGAGGCTGACATTTTTTAGCTGGAGTGAAGGTTCCTTCACAAATTAAACCACACGCAGTGTGAAAAACCACCCACCACTCTTGTGGCAGCTCAATGCGGTTTCTCCTTTTTTAACAATTGGCTAGTTGTTATCTCCCAAAATAGCTAAAATTATCTTCACGTTGCCCATTGCCTGCCTCTGTCATCTAAAACATTCATGGAATTAAAAAAAAAAGATGGACTTATTTTGAAAAGAGGGAAGCTTCGATCTGCTAGTCTGAAGGAAGGAACATTGCAATTTTTCCATTTCAGATCGCCTTTCTTTTGCCATTCTCTACAGCAGACCAAAGAGTGCAGCCAATGAACATTATTTCAGCATAGATAATGAACTTGAATATGAGAAGTAAGTATTGTTTTAAAAGATTGTTAGTAACTTTTGTTTTTGAAGACTCTTAAAAGTATGTTTATAAATGGAGCAGCCCTGGAAAATTAGAAATCTTTTCATTTTGCTAATTGCAGAATCACTTCTTTTAACCTTTGGCAAGAAAACAGATTTTTCGGGGGTGGGGGGGGGGGAATCTGAAAGAACCTTTTGTAAATTTAAACATTTAGATTTGATATTGATAGCTTACTGTAACCATAAGATGCAGACGGATCCTAAAGTAAGGCAGGGCCAGTTTCCACTGGGCGGTGTGGAAAAGCTGCTTGTTTGGTTCATTTAGAAGTAATGTTACTGAGGTAAGATTTAAATGTGAGAGTGGAGCCTTTATTGGAATTGCTAACTGGGTACTGGGCCAGAATATTGTTTCCACGCGCGAGGAAACCGTGCATTGGAAGCGTCTGCCCTTAGCCTGTCTTAGGGGCACGCCTGTGCAGACCACGCAAGTCTACATGTATGTCTTTTTTTTTTTTCATTTTTGAAGCTTTTATGCAGACTTCGGACCACTCAATCTGGCAATGGTTTACAGATATTGTTGCAAGATAAATAAGAAATTAAAGGTAATGTCTCTCTCTCTCTCTTTTTTTTTTTTAAAGATTGAAGCTATAAGTAATCACTGCTCATTAAATCTTGGGAGAAAAGTAAGGAAAAGGCACAGTAGTTTGTTCTCCAGCCTTCTGGACACACTTGAAATCACAGGGCAAGTCAAGCCCTATGCCTTCTGATACGGAGATGCTTCCAGCAGTTTGTGGGAAATAGACGTCGAAGATATGTATGCTGGCGCAGAGAAAATTTGAAATCCATCCATGTAATCTGTATGAGGAAAAAAACTAGACCTAAATCACAACATTTGGCATCAACGTAAACTTGTTTTCCCACAAACGCTTGAAGTGTATCCCCATTATGTACCTACAGGAGAGTTGACTTTTCTATAAATTAGGCACTGTAAAAGATTTAATAGTAAATCATAATCCTAGGATAATTATAGCAATATACTGTAATAAAATTGCTCTTTGTGCAATTTTTCACTTAATCTTTTGGGGCCACAATTGACCTCTGAAAAGAAATATAAAAAAAAAAAAATAAAGCCAGGGATGAAGATTGGGGGAGGGGCCAGTTTTGTTTTTTTTTTTTTTAAAGGAAAATGACATTGTTGCAGGGATGTTTGGAACATACTCGTGATGTTTTGTTGTGCCAGCATAGTATGAATGTATTCCAGAGAGGAGTTTTTAAAATCCCCTGTGGAAAGGCACAGAGGGAACCCAGTATCCCAGCTCATTCTCTTCCCTCACATCAGCAACAGCCTGGGGGCGTCCAGAGGCCCCCCCAGGACTAAAGCTTGGAGCTGTGTGTGACCGGCAGGAAGCCAGCTGCCTGCCTCATCACCACGGCTTCCCAGGGGCTCCAGTAGCAGGAACCTGGATGCACTGGGGGAACCCATCCTTGTGGGTATCTGAACTGTTAGTCGGGCCATCTGCCCCTGTTTTCTAATGTTTGGATTAAATCGTTTAAATTTGTGTTATTTGGTTTTCAAGTACTTGAAAGAACTGAGTGTGAGGACAGATAACTTTTTTCGGGAAGGTGGGGACAGGGGGAGGAAGTAGATACTTTAAAGTTTATGCAGTGAAACAGTCAAACCAAGCTTTATTTAAAAACGTTCACTCCATTATAAATGCAAGGATGATTAGGGAGATGTGAGTGTTAGGACATCCTGCCAAAACTTGTCAGAAGAAGGGACTGGTCCTTCGCTCTGAGGCAGGAATGGAACCATTGAAAGCTCTGTGTTGCCAGTGGTGGCTCAGCTCTTTCAGACAGGGCAAAAATAAAACGGATGCCTCCTCCCCGGGCTCCGTCCCAACCCTCACCCCAGCCCCCGGAAGGCTCAACCCTCTTTTCACTTTTATCCACTGGTTCAGCCAGGAATGTCCCAGCGCAAGGCCTGGGAGTGTGTTGACCAGATGACCTGCCTGAGTGATGATGAGATGGATGTGGGTGAGTGGAGCATGGCTCGTGTGCTTGGGCTGCTAGCTGTAGGGCTGGTTTCTGTTGGATCTCCTACACTGTGGGAACAACTATAGACGCATTCCTTACGGAAACACTGGCTTCCAGAAGCTAAGATTCCTGTGCAGAGGAATAGATTCTCTTCTTCACCCAAATAACTGAAATACTGATTTTTTTAAACTCAGGAGCGAAGCACATAGCCTGACAAGTGCTGACGAACCATGCATTGCTCTGGTGACTGTAAAAGTCCATATTCTTTATTGATAAAAGTAGCAGAGACATGATAGAAGCACAGGGTGTGCTGGGGTCTTCGCCAGCTGCGTGTCTGTGTATGCATCCCTGACACCAGGAACAGAACGTCAGCGGCCTGCGAGAGCACCCTTGGACCTTGCTTCTTCCCAGTGCACCCCCGTCCTCACCCCTTCCCACTGCCCCCTGCCCTCAGCCCTTCCCACTGCCCCCTGTCCTCAGCCCTTCCCACTGCCCCCTGTCCTCAGCCCTTCCCACTGCTCCCTGTCCTCACCCCTTCCCACTGCTCCCTGTCCTCACCCCTTCCCACTGCCCCCTGTCCTCACCCCTTCCCACTGTCCCCTGCCCTCACCCCTTCCCACTGCCCCCTGTCCTCACCCCTTCCCACTGTCCCCTGTCCTCACCCCTTCCCACTGTCCCCTGCCCTCACCCCTTCCCACTTCCCCCTGTCCTCACCCCTTCCCACTGCTCCCTGTCCTCACCCCTTCCCACTGCCCCCTGCCCTCAGCCCTTCCCACTGCCCCCTGTCCTCACCCCTTCCCACTGCCCCCTGTCCTCACCCCTTCCCACTGTCCCCCTGTCCTCACCCCTTCCCACTGCCCCCTGTCCTCACCCCTTCCCACTGTCCCCTGTCCTCACCCCTTCCCACTGCCCCGTCCTCAGCCCTTCCCACTGCCCCCTGTCCTCAGCCCTTCCCACTGCCCCCTGTCCTCACCCCTTCCCACTGCCCCGTCCTCAGCCCTTCCCACTGCCCCCTGTCCTCACCCCTTCCCACTGTCCCCCTGCCCTCACCCCTTCCCACTGCCCCCTGTCCTCACCCCTTCCCACTGCCCCCTGTCCTCACCCCTTCCCACTGCCCCGTCCTCAGCCCTTCCCACTGCCCCCTGTCCTCAGCCCTTCCCACTGCCCCCTGCCCTCAGCCCTTCCCACTGTCCCCTGTCCTCACCCCTTCCCACTGCCCCGTCCTCAGCCCTTCCCACTGCCCCGTCCTCAGCCCTTCCCGTTGCCCCCTGTCTTCACGCCCTAACAGCATGGGTTATTTTTATCCTGTCCTGTATACCCTTTTATTTTAATTTAAAGGCGTTTGGAACAGATCATTAAAAAATGGAACAGTAGGGAAAGGAAAGAAAGATCTCGCTGCCATCCAGTCTGGCTCGTGCCTGCAGTCCAGGGTTCGCTGGGCTTCCTGCATTGGCGGGCCCTCCCTTCCGTCTTCCCCAGCGACAGGTTCATTCTGTCCCAGGCGCAACAACTTTTGTGGGGAAAAGCGGTGTGGTATGCAGGGGTGTCAGTGCAGATCCAAACATCTTGTTGATTGGGAATATGTCTTCATCGTGAAATAAAATTTTGGAAAACTCTTGAGTTGAGAAGGAGTTACTAACAGCTGTTTATTTTTACGCAGTCCATTACAATGCTAAGGAAGAAAATTATTCATTTTACTGGCTCAGATCAGAGAAAACAAGCAAATGCTGCTTTCCTTGTTGGATGTTATATGGTAAGTGTCTGCTCCGTTCCTAATGTCAAAATGTGCACAGCTACAGTCTGCAAGTTGGAGATGAATTCTTCTTGCTTCTTCGTGTCTTGCTTGCTTCCATAGATGGCCTTTTTAAAAATGATCAGTCGAGGAAGGTTTACGTTAAAGGCATGTGGTCTGTGTACCTTTGGCTTAAATTTGTAGTGAATCTAAAATTACTCTTTAAAGTCATTTATGGAAATTGGTTATGACTCAGCGAGTGATGCCCGTTCGCTGTGGTGTTAGTTGCCAATCTGTGATGAGAGCTGTGAAGTTATTTTCTGGGTTTGGGACCAAGAATGATGAGGGGAAAGATGAAATGGCGAACGTGTCGCATGAGGTGTAACTGTCCTGTAGTTGAGTATAGTTCTTGCCTTCTCCTCCGAGCATCCCAAAGCAGCTGCACCAGGCGAACGGTCGTCAAGGAGAGCCAGAAGCTCCCCGAGTCCGCGCTTGGCATCGCTGGGCACGTGCTGGGAAACGGGCAGCCTGGGCACCAGAGTTAAGGAGTTCCTTTCATTTGTAACAAGGATGGAAGTCAGAGTTGATTGAAGAGTTAGTGGGTTTCCGTAGTAGAAGTTTGTCCTGAGTCTGCTAAGAGCCCCTCCAGGGTGGATCCCCGACCTTTGTGGTGGTGAGGAGGCTGTGGGGTGCTGCCTCCACGCCTCCCCACCCCCAGGGGGACAGGTGTAACAGTTCATCTCTGGGTGAGTTCTTTTCATTCCTCCTGACCTCCAGGTTTGCTTTTGTCATGGCAAAATTATGCCCTGCTATGTGGCTTGCCAATCCAGCATCTACAACAGCGAGTCTGAACGTTGTCGTTTTAGTGGATACCGGTTGAAGTTCTGTTGTGTTCCTTTTTCAGTGTTCAAGGTGTCTCATCAGGGCAGTGACGGAGGCATCTGGGGCGGGGCTTGACTCATCGTCCTGCTCAGGCTCACAGGACTTGTTGAGAGCAAGCCTTCAGTTCTGTTCCTGTCCTCTCTGGCAGTGTGAAACCCGGGCTGCAGTTGAGGTCTGCCGCAGGCCGGGTCCCGGAGCTCTCCTGACCTGGGAGCGTGGCCACACGTTGCTTCATTGCTCCTTCTGCTTGCAGTGACCGCACTAAGCGTTGTAAAAGGAAAGCACGCAAGAAAGACATCTCTGAGAGCCAGGGGATGGCGAGATGGGTGTTTTCACCGGGATGTTTTTGGCTAGGCAGTGGGGAGAGGAACCCCTGCTTCTGTACATCTTCTGCAGAGCAAGGTGCACAGCCAGCAGTTCTGGCTCTCAGAGTGCCGGAAAGCCCCCCGCGACAAGCAGGTGGTCCTCGGTGTGATCGTATGGGTCTTGCTCGGGGCGGCTGGGGGCCCCTGTGTGGAGCTCATACGGCAGACAAGCTCTGTGGGGCTGCTTCCAACTCAGTCTGCAGATGAGATGGTCTGAGCTGGTGCAGGCAGGACCTGGCATGGCAGCCTCACGCTGAGGAACCCCTAAGGAGGTGACTGTGGGGAGGCTGGGAGCTCAGGCTTGTCTCAGACACAACGCCAGGGCAGCCACAGGTATTTGGGATGTGATTCAGACTCTGGCTGGCCGCTCAGGGTGTCCGCACCGCAGAAGAAAGTGCCCGGCCCTTCCTTGTTCCCTGCCTCTGGAGGCAGCGGAAGACGGCTCAGGAACTCCTGCCACTTGTGTGTTGCGTTCTGGGCCTGCGTTGAACTCCAGAATTTGATCTGGCTAGCCTCGTCTGTTGTGGGTTTCCGGAGACCGAACTGGCAGGTGGGAGCTCTCTGTTCCTTTTGCCTTTCAAATAAATATTGAAGTTTAACAAATTACAATATGCAAATTAAAATAAATAAAATCAGGCCCAGCTCAGCAGTCCAGTGGCTAAAGTTGCCGCCTTGTACACGCCAGGATCCCATATGGGCGCTGGTTCGTGTCCTGGTGGCTCCACCTCCTATCCAGCTCCCTGCTTGTGCCCTGGGAAAGCAGTCGAGGATGGCCCAAAGCTTTGGGACCTTGCACCCGTGTGGGAGACCCAGAAGAAGCTCCTGGCTTTGGATGGGCTCGGCTCTGGCTGTTGTGGCTGCTTGGGGGATTCGATCATCGGATGGAAGATGCTCTCTGTCTCTTTCACTCTGTAAATCTAACTTTCCAACAAAAAAATACTTATCTTTAAAAAAAACCCAGGAAGATGGGAGCTGTGGGGTGCACACTATAGCAGGTTATATCATGTGTCTTTTGGGGTGCTGGTATCCCCAGTCAGAGTGCGTGGTTCAAGTGCTGGCTGCTCTGCGCTTTGTTAAGATTTATTTATTTGTAAGTTACAGAAAGAGCTTCCGAGTGGTTCACTTCCCAAGTGGTCCCAGCAGCCGGGGCTGTGCCGGCCTGTAGCTGGAAGCCTGGAGTTCGTTCTGCCTCTCCCACGTGGGCGCAGCGGCACAAGCATTTGGGCCATCCTCTGCTGTCTTCCAGAACACATTAATGAAGAGCCTGATGGGAAGTAGCCGGCTCCTATTCTCTGCTTCCTGCTGATGTGCCTGGAAGGCGGCCCTGTCCTACCTAACCACCCCTTTTTTCAAATTAAAAAAAAAAGGGGGGGCGGGAAATCATTCCTTTAAAATCTTGATGCTGCTGTTTCTTTACTAGCAGTGGAGAGAGCGGGGTGGAAAAAGACCTGGTGTTCTGGCTAGGCAGTTGTGGGCATGTTTGTTCCATTTGGATTCACGTTTTGACTGACCCTGTGGTACTTAGCATACAGAGGTTTGTTGCTGTATTTTAGATGTACAAAGGCATCCAGGACTTGACATGGGCAAAGAAATAGAAAGATGCGTTTGTCTTGCGCTTCATGGGAAGACCTTTCATCACCCTGCGTTTCCCAGGAATGCCGCAGAGCGGGGGCAGCAGCTTGTGCTGCCAAGCGTGCCAAGCGTGCCTGGCATGGAGTCTTGCCTGCTCTCCTGATGCCAGCTTCCGGGAGGCTGCAGTGGATGGCTGAGTCCCTGAGGACCCAGATGGAGTCGCCCCCACCATCCGCCATCCCCCGACGAGACATTGAGGCAGTGACCCAACAGATGGGGAGCCTCTCTCTTGCCCTGTCCCTTCCTGCCTTTCATACAAACACGGAAACGTTTTGATCTGGCTGGAATCTGTTACGTCGAGGGGTTCCAGATTTCCACAGACGCACACTGATGGGCTGACCTGGTGATCTCTTCCGGTGTCGGTGAGGGATCCTGGAGACCGTGAGGCTTTCTGCTGATTGACTTGGCACGCCCACAGTAAAACAAAGATGGAAAATCTGGAGGGAGAATTGTCAGGAAGGAAGCACTCCCACCGACTCTGCTCATCTTCATGTGCCGTTTTGAAGCCTGGGCGTCTGGGAGGAGTCTTGCTGCAGCTGGCCTTCCCTGCACAGAACGACAGACAGCGTGGAGTGGGAGGCGCGGTGAGAGGATGCTTTGGGGCCTAGGAATGGACTGTTAGTACTTGCATTCCTTTGTTCTCACCTTGAAAACAAGGCCCTTAGGCCTCGCGGAACTTGAAGTGTAGCTCGACGCACTGCTCGCCTGTCGGCTGTTGAGACTTCCTGAGGGTTTTAAGTGAGTGTTTTAGGTGCCTGGTCATTGCCTTCAGTGCATTATGTTTCTCATAGTCTAGCAGTAGGATTTGCCTATGTTCTTATCCCAGTGGTAGAATCTTTCCCAACAAATCACAGCAAGGGGCCAACATGATGGCTCAACTGGCTAATCTACCACCTGTAAGCGCCGGGATCCCACATAGATGCCAGTTCCTATCCCAGCCACTCCACTTCCCAACCAGCTCTCTGCCTAGGACCGGGGAAGGATAGCCCAAAGCTGGGGAATCCTGCACCTGGGAGACACCCAGGGGAAGCTCCTGGTTCCTGGCTTTCTGCTGTCCCAGCTCTGGCCGTGGCGGCCATTTGGAGAGTGAACCAGCAGGTGGAGGATGGTTCTGTTCTCCGTCATTCGTCTGTCTGTAAATCTGCCTTTGTAATAAAAACAAGTAAATCCTTTAAAAAAATCAGAACACAGGTAGCCATCTTCAGCACCACTGTGGGAGGGCATAAATGAAGGCTCAAGTTTCGGGCTTCTTAGCTTGCTTTCTCTTTTTTGGTTTTTGTTTTTCTTTAGAAAGATAAATGTGATCCCGACAGGGTAGCCTCGCAGTTAAAGTCCTCACTTAGCACGCACTGGGATCCCACATGGGTGCCGGTTCTAATCCCGGCTGCTCCACTTCCCATCCTGCTCACTGCTTGTGGCCTGGGAAAGCAGTCGAGGATTGCCCAAAGCATTGAAACCCTGCACTTGCCAGGGAGATCTGGAAGAGGCTCCTGGCTCCTGGCTTCAGCTCAGCCCAGAGCGTTGCGGCCACTTGGGGAGTGAATCAACGGATGGAAGATCTTTCATCTTTCCTCCTCTCGGTATATCTTGACTTTTCAATAAAAAATAAAACTTAAAGGATGCTGGCAGTGCAGTAGGCAGCGACACTTGCTGTGCCTCCTTGGTTATGCCTTTATCCTCCATGTATTAGCTGTTTTTTATTATAATATTTGAACTTTTCCCTCAGACAGATGGGGCTGTTTGGTTACCTTGAAGCTAAATTTTCTAGTTAGGAGGCAGAATAAATAGTCATTTCCTTTTAGTTAGCAGTTTCTGAAGTAAAGTGTTATTTTAATAGCCTCAAAGCAAAATTTTACAATCTGTTTTAAAGCTATCCAGCCAGAGTGTCAGTGGGTTTGGGCTCATTTGCTAAATATATGTATTTTTTTTAAGAACATTGTCTCTTTTAAATTTATTTTTATTGGAAAGTCGGATATACAGAGAGGAAGATTTTTCGTCTGATTCACTCCCCAAGTGGCTGCAATGGCCAGAGCTACACTGATCCAATGCCAGGAGCCTGCAGCTGCTTCTGGGTCTCCTACATGGGTACAGGGTCCCAAGACTTTGGGCCATCCTCGACTGCTTTCCCAGGCCACAGGCAGG